TAACGAAAATGTGGGACTATTAATGAAGACCGCCAAAAGGTTGGATTATTAGTTTCCATTTTCCCTTTTAATAATCATATTTCAATGTAATGATTAAACTGTAATTTAACCTAACCTTGTTTTAGACTTGTAGATATGATCATATGAATAGCATACGGGTCCATGGCTTTGTTTGGGAATTGGCTTCTTTAACTGCACTTAATGATTTTGATAATCTAAAAAGTTAAAACTATTGTTTGGTAAATGAATGATTGATTTAGCTTATTGGACTTAACTAGCTGAAAACCAAAACGCCAGAAGGTGCATCGTTTAAGTTTGGATGCTGACTTTTATACCTTTTGTGTCCTCCGTATACTTGTGCATCCTTGGCCGTATACCTCTTCAGCAATTTACATCCTTGGTCCCTTTTTTTAAAACTGTTTTTAGAAATAAAATCAGGAGAGACTAGGTCGAGAGCTGTTGAGAGACATAAGAGGTTCAAGAGACGACTAAGGAACACTTTTAGAGCCAAAAGAGGTCAAGGAATGAGTTCAAGAACGACTAGGATCAAACAGGGAAGAAAAGAACAAGAAAATGACCTAAAAGAGATCCACACGACGTGCGCGCGATGGTCACACACCATGCGGAGGGATCAGAGAGCATTCAAATCAGAAATCTGGTCTCCATGTCGTGCGCTCCAAAACATCTTGCATGAAGGTCCGCACGAACGTACCGTGCGAAGGCTGCACGCCAGCGGATGAGCGAAGAAAAGTTGACATTGATATTTACGGAGGCCCGCATACGGTCGGTTGCACGCCGTGCGCATAACCGTGCACGACCCTTTCCCCCTCTTTTCTCTATTTTCTTTAAATACATGGTTTTTTTTAAATCAAATAACTAATTTATTATTAAGCGATAGCAAAAAATACAAGAGAATGAATAGCCTGAGGCTACAATGAGATGAGACATAGAACGGAACAGATTCAATAAATCCTTTCAGATTCAATGTAGTCTAACAGCCTTGCTGATCTTCTTGCTACTCCAAAGAGAAATTAAAAAATTATAACTAAAAGATCCGGCTTCACCAGCCACCGGAAAGGGAGAATTGGTTTGACCAGCAACCAACAAAGGGAAATCAGTCGAGTAGAAATTTCTTGAAGCATCGATTTGACCAGCCACCGAAAAGGAGACCCTCTTGATCATCTTCTTCTTCCCAGAGTGAGGCAGTGGTTCAGGTTGTGGGCGAGTAATTGAAACATCAGAACAACAAGGTTGAAAAAGCTTCACCAGATCGATTACACCGATCAGAAATGCACAGCCTCTAGACATTGCTAGGAGAATAACATACCACACGCTCACATGAAGCGGACAAAATTCTCGGCCAATGAAGAAGCCGGACCAAATTCCTTGATAACAGAAATTGAAAAAGAGCGAAAGCATAGAAAAACCTTTGATTCGATCTTTCATTGCAAAGAGAATGTCTTCATCTTCCAAAATCGGATCTTGAAGGGGGTTGGGGATGGCCGCATAGGGTTTCCCCTAGGGCTGACTCTCTATCACGCAACAATATAGAACTTTAAATACATGGTTTTTTCATTTTCTTTCATTACAAGATCAGGGACAAAAATCCTAGGACGGATTTTCTTTAGCTTTCTACCCTTGGAGTATCAAGATTGTGGGATTGTTTGTAAGTTCAATCTTTTTAATTAATGACAATTAATTCGTTCTTTATCAATTTTGTTGATTCTTCAATTATGAATTGTGAGTAGTTTTAACTAGGGACTTGTGATTGATGAAGGGTGTATTAATCATGATCTATAGTTCATTTTTGATGATTTAAATTGCATGATTATTAATTATTATTATTATTTGAATAATTTACATCATATCTTTTGTAACCTAAAACAGTTGCTATGATTATAAATGCACATCGAGTAATTTAAGAGAGATCTAAATAATTCTAGGACACTTTCACACACACGTAATCATTCGCTAAGAGATTAGTAACGGCCAGGGAGTCGTATGCTTGCTCGTTTTGGCAATAATTTAGGAACTTGTCGCATGAGAGATAAACCTTGTTCCCTAAATTATTGTACGCTACGCCGCGAGAGCGGTATGAACTTAGTATTGACCTGCATTGCTCAATTAAATAGTTTTCATGTGTTTAAGCTTGATCAACCCCAAAATCTGGTTGCCCCCAAAATCAATCCATGTTCCCTTTCATGATTAATTAGCAAGAGCCTTTTAAGTTAGTTATTTAATCGCGTTTGCAATCATTGAGTTTAATTAATTCTTAATTCTTTTTTTCCGTCTCTTTGGATACGATTCTCGTACTTGTCACTATACTTCTGAAATATTTAAGTACGAGAAAAAAACACATCACCCGACTACTTGGACTTTTTACTACGTAGAGAGCTTGTAATCCCTTTAGGGGGTGTACACATCTAAGGTAGAGATTCAGTATCCAATTGATCGTTTGGGTGGGGTCAGGGTTATCGGGTGGTTCATAGGCTGCTTCGATGACTTATTTTATCTATCTAGGACACCTGAGGTGATGCGTGATAGTTGATGACCTACGCATTTGCTTGATTCAGATTATCTTCTTGGGAACTCCCCATCTTTAAAAGAATTTTGGAAAGATTCGTTAAAGTGAATTTTGTTGGTTTTGTATCATGCGTGGTTGGAAAAGAAGTATTTAAATATTGAGTTGTGTGAAGTATCTCTCTTATTAAATACGATATTACTACTTTATTTTATCTATAAAACAATTTATTTTACCAAAAGGATTTTCGGACCTATATGTATGTATCAAAAACTATTTTCGGACCTTACTTAGTTTTAAGGCTAATATTTTCCCTTTGTTTGTTTTATTTACTGCACTTTATTTGGTGCAGGTGATAAAAATTATGATTGATGATGAGACGTTCGCCACATAACATAGACTAGTTACTAGTTACATTTTAAAGTCTGGAATTTAGAACTTGTCACTATTTTTATGCTTCCAGTTTTGAACATAGCATTTATGTTTATTATGGATTACGGTTTATCATGTGCATTCAATTATGTAAGAGTCGAGTGTCGAGGTAACAGCCAGTGAGTATTTTATTGCCGTTGCAATTTAAACTCCTTTGAACTTAAATGTTTTGGTAAAATTATCATTATACTTGTTGATTTAATATAATTTTTGGGGTGAAATTGGGGGTGATAAATGTATCTTTCCATGATACATAGGTGCTAAGTAATTAAGCATATAATTAAAACAAAGATAAAAAGTAAGCGTATATTTATAAATATTTTTTCATATACTAAATGTCTTTTTACGTATATAGATGCATGCCTTTCATTTATATAAAACTACACGGCACGTGGTTATAGCCTTTTGAGAACTTCTCTATAGCGGAAACCCTAGCGCATCAACGGCCATGGCAGGGCCTCGCCGTCATTAGCAAATGTCTCATTCCGTTATTCAGTAAGGATATATCCGGCGGTCGTTGTCTAGGTATATTCAAGGGTTTGTTCTGGGCCTTCGGCGACTATTTTTGGCTTGGTCCTGCAGAGGTTTTCTACCAGATTTTGGTATGAATTGATTTGGTGGAAGTGCGTTTTGTTTCTTCTCGCAATGGCATGAATGCGCTTAATCAGAATTGCAGGGATATTGACAATCTAGCCACGACTCAGGGGTTGACAGATTTGGTTCCCGCTCTCAGCACGGGTGATGACAGACGGGGAGCGATGAAGGACTAAGCAAGGGAGAATACAGATCGGTGTTCCGTCCCCCTCCTGAACCGCTGCCTTGAATTGATCGAGATATCGGGGTTTGGAAGATGATATTTCAAGAAAACAGTCAGGAAATAGTTTGGAGTATTTTTCAGTTATTTTTATTTTTTATAGTTTTATTTTCGTGTAATGTTTGTTTACGGTGCTCCGTTTTTTGTTGAGGATTTTAGTTTTAGGTCTACAATAAGGATTGTTAATTCTGCTAGATATTATGTCGTTAAAATGATCTATATGGCCAGATTCCTGTGTTACACCTGCTTGGTGGTTAGCAATTCGTATTGCTCTTTCATGGGTGACCGTCTCAGAGTCTAGCCGTAGGGTTGATTGTGAACGTTAGGGATAGTTTTTGTCGGGATTGATCTTTTTGAGTTTGTTGTAACGATCCGATACCTAATGATTTTAATATAAGCGTTGGATTTGATGATAAAAAACTACACAATACAAATTATCAAATTATACTCAGAAAGGTTTTGAAATAGTAGTACACAAGTTTAAGAATCTCAAAATGAGAATAGTATTGCATTATCTACAACAATCTCAAAATCATAACAACTCATATTTCAGAAAGAAAAACATAACAATCTTATTTTAATTTAAATTTTCAAAAACTTTAAACCAATTTCCCAATATACTACTCCATTAAAGAAGTCTTAAGTTTGCAATTGCTTAAAATAAGCATTTCTCAGCTTTTAACTTAAAATAAGCTGAAAAAGTTTTTGATAATGCCTACTTCTACTTTAAAAAAAAACAGTTTAAACTAAAAGCTGGAAGCTGATAGAGAGGTGCTTTAAACTGCATTTGACCTTTTCTATTACATGAAAAACACTTAGGGTTTGTTTGCAATTATTTCTCTTTAAAAAAAGCACTTTTTGGAAAAAGTGATTATTACTAGTAAAAGTTGGTATTGTTTGGTAAAATAAGTGCTTTTTGTGTAATAGAAAGATTAAAAGCACTATTCACAGGAAAGTCCAGAAAAGTAAAAGTTGGTAGTGTTTGGTAAAATAAGTGTTTTTTAAGCCCAAAGCTGGGAAGTGCTTTTTTACTAAAGTTTACAAACAAAGCCTTATTTTATCAAACACTACTCACTTTTACTTTTTAAAAACACTTTTTTTCAAACATTACTAACTTTTACGATTAAATACTTTTTCTTGAAAATACTTTTTCTCAAACATTACTAATTTTTACTATTAAATACTTTTTAAAAGGAAAAGCACTTCTCATAAAAATAAACACTCACTACCCAGCTTTCACAAAAATTAGGTAACACTTCTCATAAAAAATAAACCGGCCTTAGAAAATAAAATAAAATAAAATAAGAAAACCATCCGGATCTCAAGCAAATTCTTGTAACTGGAATTGGGGAAGACAATTTGACAGTTTAACCATGTGGTGGACAGAGCTGAAATCAGCTTTGGGGCAGAGGTTTAACGTCCAGGGAGTCGCTTCTTCTCTTGAGGTTTTTACAAAAGACAAGGACTTGATCGTCCCGCACATCTCCGTCCCTGATCTGAGGTATATTGATTGGGATGAGCTGAAGAGAAGGGGCTTCGAAGGGGTAGTGTTCGATAAGGACAACACAATCACCGCTCCTTACTCTTTGGGGATGTGGGCGCCTCTCGAGTCATCCATCCGCCACTGCAAATCTGTCTTCGGCAGCAACGTCGCCATTTTCAGCAATTCCGCAGGTGATCTCAAATCGTTTCCCTGAGAATTTCGCATTTCTCATTTCCTTAATTGGAGTTTTTCTGGTTTCCTTTAAACTTATTGCTTACCATATGTTATTATATTTTAGGGTTACATGAATATGATCCGGACGGTAGAATTTCCATGCTTCTTGAGCGCACTATTGGGATTAAAGTAATCAGGCACAGTAAGTTTATGATTGCCTTTTAGATGCCTATATTCGACTGTGTATGATCCTTTTTTTAACTACTGTAAAAAAAAGGCCCTTTTTTAATTAGCATGATTTTAGAAAATTTCAGATCGTAGTGGAGATTTGAAAAATTCTTTGAGGGCGCATGTTTAGAGTGTACTAGAGTTCTATTGGTAAACTTTGGAAAAATCCTCTGCAACATTATAGAGAAGTGAATGACCATCAAGATTCTTCTTGAACATCATGGAACCTTGTTGAGGCCGAAAACCTGTGAGAAGACTTTAGTGAATGGTGGGTGAGGTGTGAACAATTCAAGAACAAAGTTTGTTTTTTAGGAATCTTTTCGATCCCAGGCTGGAATATCAATTAAGAAATTAGGAGATGTTTTAGCTATTAATCCAGTATCAATTAAGGGCTGAAATGACTTGCAAACAATCAACCTAGAACCTAAAACAGCATGAACGGTACCAAGGTGGCTTGTTTAGCTTTTATTTATTTTTATGTTTTAATTATCAATGAGTTTTACATTATGCAAAATATACACGTTTTAAGAAGTCAACGATTATTTAGATTTAGTAAAATGATTAAAAATTTAAAATTTCGGATGTGTTATGTCTTATTCATGGATTTGAATGATTAATGTATTCAATTGATATCTGTTAATCTTTCATGTCATAAAAAATAAGGAGAATGTCCCATTCCTCACCACTTAAATACTTCCTCAAGAACTAAGGGTGAGAGTGGAACACCATGTTTTTCCATTGATTTGAATAAACTTCAAGTTTTGTGGTCCTTGTGGACATAGAATGATTGGATTGATTCCAAACTATGGACGTTCCTTGTAGTGGTATTACTATACGAAGCAAAGTAACAACACTTATAGTCTTATACTCTTAATGATAAGTTTGTTCCGCTTGTTAACTTTAGAAGTCAAGAAACCAGCCGGAACAGCTGAAGAAATTGAACAACAGTTCACTTGTGAACCATCAAAACTTATAATGGTATTACTTTATAAAGCAAACCTATTATTTAAGTCCATTCAAAATTTGCCTTCACAGAGTGACCCTATTTTGCCCGTTGCAGGTTGGTGATCGACCCTTTACAGACATATTGTACGGAAACAGAAATGGCTTTCTTACGATTTTGACAGAGCCATTAAGTCTTAGTCAGGAGCCATTCATAGTACAACAGGTTATATTTTAGTTTCACTTCAGTACGGGCTGATAGAAATTGTGGGCGTCTGATAACAATGGCTGAATTATGGAAAATTATATTTAAAATATATTTTACTAATAAATAAAGAAAAGCTCCTATGCAAATAACTAAAACAATCCCTAGAGTAAGTTCAATCAATTAAATCTGAATACTAACTCCAACCTTACTTATTTTGATTATTATATAAATTTAACGGGTGAAATTAAAAGCTACTTGTGTGGTAGAAAAATAGATTGGTAAGCGTGATAAGCTGAAAATGGGGTTACCAAACGAGTTCTATATTCGATCACATTTGAATGTTGTGTATCTTTGTCTTTACCATCTAATGATGCCAAAAGAAGTTGCTAAGTCACCCCCACATGAGTCAAATACTCCGTATATTAATATAAACTCACATAGAAAAAAAACTCACATATAAAAAAACATTTGGTCCCTTCTTTAAAAGGTGGGTTTCAAGTTTTGTCCACTTTTTTGAGCCATTACATAAAAGAACTTTTATTCGGATACTAAGCCAAAAATGTGTGCAGGTGAGGGTAATAGAAAGGGTCCTTCTAAAACGTTGGTCTGCAAATGGGGTGAAACAAAAAGCTCACAAACTTCTTCCTAATAGCACGCTGATTGTGAAAGACAAGCCTTTATAAGATGAAGAAGTGTCTCCATGACGAACGACTCGATAATTTGTAATGCGCGGCTAACATCTTCATTCTTTGGGGATATTTATGGAAGAGAGCTGCAATGTGTGCTTCTCTGACCCATCATCAATCTTTTAGCTTTATCTGTGTTGATATGGTCTTCGTTTAAGAAAAATGCCACATGTTCTATATATGTCTATGTACACTGACAATGGGACAATTTGTTCAAAAAATGGTCTCTGTCATCCAGATTTTGGACAAATTATCTCTATGCACAAAGTCTATGGAGCATTACACTGTACGTGTACATAAAGCATATATTATTAATATACGTAGTACATAGTACTACGTATCTTTTAGTGATATGGTTGAAGTTGGTGCATGTAAATTAGGTAAAGTTAAAACATGCGGTATATGTGATTTGTAAGTTATCACTGCCATTTTGTTTTGCAAAATAGCAGCTCACCCGTTCAAGTGCAATTTGGGAAAAGCTTGTATATTCACTCTTTGGGAAAGGAATAGGGGTGAAAGGGGTTGTGATTTTCGCCATCCCAAACACCCTATTCGCTCCCCAATCCTCCAAACTTGAGATACTAACTTGGTGTTGAGAAAAGTCCATCCAAATTTTGTTTACATTGGGTAAATTTTTTCTGAAATATAACGTTAGATTTGATAAGATCTGATCTATTTTTGGGATTTGTAGAATCGTAAAAGGTTTAAATGATTTCATATATTTAAATAAGCTTTCCTTTTTACATCTTTACGATCTATCTGGTTTTTATATTAAGGTGTTTTTTTATTAAATCTTATTGAAAAATAACAAGTAGACAAAAATATTATTATACTTACTGTTCATAGTCACTATAGTGATAGAGTTGAACACAACTAATGATTACTAAATTTATTATAATAGCCACTATGTCAGATTTTTGTCAATTGTCTTTATTGCGGTCCTATATTTGTTATTATTTCTTATACTCCATAGTCCATACTAAATGTCAAACCTATATTAATTCAAAATAAATATGTATGAGTGTAATGGACAAATAAACACAAGAAACAATTGCCGGACATCCCAAATCCCAATATCACATATGAAAATGATCACCATAACAAGAGCACCTCGAATAATTGATCACCACTTAGAGTTGAAGCTATCATTAATCACAAATGTCTTCTTACATGAGTTACATTTTAACAAACAGCGAAATCATATACTTTCAACTAAACCAATGGAAAATGAAACTAAATATTGTGAAACTAATAATAAAGTTAAAGTAGATCCACAAAAAATGAAACATCCACAAGTTCAACAAATTATTTTGACTTATTTTGACTGAAAATCATATAATTAACACGTCTAAAAATAAAGAATGGTGGTAGTTCAAACAACAAATTATTTTGACTGAAAATCATATAATTAACATGTCTAAAAATAAAGAATGGTGGTAGTTCAAGCGGAGGATGAGGCATCAACACCAATTCAAGATATATTACATGCCTAATTAATGACAAAGTTAATGAATATTGCTTTCCAGCCTCATCACTTGATAGGAGCGTAAAAAACGAGAACTATGAACATGGCAATAGCTACCCTTCAGATTAGTGGGGCATTGCCCCCCTAACTTTTCATTTTTTTTTAAGTATGAATTCGTAAATGTTAAATATACGTGAGTAAAAGGGTCAAATATGATTTCCTACTATTTTTAATTCATCACTTAAGTCACTATATTAAAAAAAAGTATCATATAAGTATATAAGTATAATCAATATATATATATATATATATAAGAGAAACTTTTTAAGAGCATACAATGTGCCACATAATCCTGTCATGTCATAATTTATGACATTTATTTATTTATTTTTGAACCTTTTATTGTTTTATAGAAATCTACCTTATTTGGTAACTTTAGGAAAATCAAATCCCACGTAGAGAGCAAGCTTTATTTTAAATTTCTAATTTCAGCATTTAGAAACATAAAACCTATGTGTATATATATATATATATATATATATATATATATATATATATATATAGGGAACCGTTCCGGTGAGAAAGGTGTCATAGGAGAGAAATGAGAAAGCATGATAGTCGTTTAGATCTTTGATCCGATGGTCGAATTTTACAATTCCATTAACTATCAAAATCTCAAAAATTAAGGAAAGCAATAACTTGCATTAAATGTAATACGGTTGATTTGTATCACAGGGGCTTTTACGTAAACTAGTTGTGCACTTACCTTCCTAAGCATACGGAATTCATTTGGAAGTTTTCCAATTAGGAGTGGATGAAATTATGACTTACGGAGTATGTCTTTAATATATTGAGATTTACCGATGTTTCCATTTTAATAGATATGCATTTTTCATAGGACTGTTATGCATCAATATTATAAGAGAAGTGCATTTTGTAAACTTGATAAAGTTTCTTTGCAAATTGAATCAGATTTTCTTTTACTTCAAATTGGATACTTTATTAAATTAATCGCCTTAAGTATGGAATATTGATATAGGCAAGAAACTGTAAAATGAATATACAAAATCATGCAAAAATTCGAAAAACGTAATTCATCATGTACACATTTGCACTATGCATTTCAAAAGAGTGCACTTTAACGTGTAACTAATTTCACTTCACTTGTTGCACATTTGTTGTTAAAACAGTGCATATCTTCAAAAACTTGTAACATGTAATTATATACATAGTATTAAATGTGCAACAATAATTAAATTCAGGTGCACTATAATGTGTAAATTGTGTAGTTGCACCTCGATTCCAATTAATTTGCACTTTAAAATAAACCATGAAGGTTGCACTTGTCCTTAATAAAACAATACAGAAATGCTAACGTGCACTACCAATATTCCAATAATGCACACTTGATACAAAATCGATCTCTGCAATGATATATGAGTATGTGTTTTTTGAATGCTTTAGAAATTTATTGAGTGTGCATAATTGAATAAGTACATGTGCACTTTACTGAAAAGCATAGCAATTAATCTAAAATAATTTACAGATGCACTTTTATTCGAAATTTGAGCATCAAGAGTGTCATTGATTGTTCACACATATTTTATTTCCAAAAATTAATAATACATCATAGTTATAATCATTCTTTTTATAAATGTTTCAATCAATTTGTACACTATAAAATCAATTAAGTATGCAACTTTTTTATTTAACGATGCACTTATTATTTTATTAGATGCACTCTTATGTGAGAATCGAGGTAGGTACTATCTATAACAAGTGCATTGGGAATCATATAGTCCTGGAAATAACATCTTTGTGCAAATATTACATATCAAATGTGCACAATCATAATAATAAAATATTAACATATTCATGATATTAACTAATAAAAATATGTATAATAGAGTACTAACATATTTAGGATATTAATCCATAATAATATGAAAAAGAGTCAATTCCCTAAATAGGACTAAAAAGTGGCAAAATTGCACAAATAGGACTACATTTTTTTAAATTCCCTTAATAGGACTATTTATGTGTGTTTGGACAAATATACCCTTGTAACTTGTAAAATGTTTTAATTATTAATAAAATCATAAAAAAATTAATAAAAATCGAAAAAAATACTAAAAATCGTAAAAAAAATAATAGAAAATTAATAAAAATATTTTAAAAAAAAAATATTTTTAAAAAAAATAAAAAAAAATAAAAATAAAATCATAAAATTAAAAAAAAAAAACATTACCACCCCTGCCACCCCCAGCACCACCAGCTCCCATCACCGGAGAAAAATATGCCAACATTTTAAATAATGCCATAATGATGGCATATTCAATGAAAATGTTGGCATATTGAAGAGTAATTATGCCATCTTTTTGACATTTTCAGAAAAATATGGCATTTTTTTACCAAAAGTGGAAGAAATTTCACCAATCGGAGGTGGTGGTGCTGGGAGGCGGCGGGAGGCGGTGGGAAAGGTATTCATAATTTTTTTCATTTTTTATGGGTTTTTACTATTTTTTTTATTATTTTTTACAAAAAATTAAAAAAAATAAAAAATTAATTTTTTTATTTTATAAATGTTTTATAAATTTTTTTATAATTTTTTTTACGTTTTTTAAAATATTTTTTACGTTTTTTATGATTTTTATTATGAATTAAAGAATTTCATTATGAATTAATACTCTAAGGGGTATTTAGGGTAGAAAATCAATGTTTAGTCTTATTTAGGGAATTTTAAAAGTAGTAGTCTTATTTGTGCTTTTTAGGAACTCATTAGTCCTATTTAGGACAATTTCCGTATGAAAAACTCAAGGAAGTGGAAGATCTAGTAGTATACTTCGTATATGCTACGTGGAAGAAAATCTCATCAAATAAAAAAATGAATTGAAAATGGGGAGTATAAGCCCGTGTAAGAATAAGGAAAGAAATCAAGCGGACAATTCGTGCGTGCAAATAATAAATGAAATAGATGAATGACTACTTTGCCCATGAAGTTTTAAACGTGAATAATCACTAAAGTGATGAATCTAACGGCTGATATGAATTCTTATTTCTCTCTTAAGATAAGATTCTCACTTGAACATAAATCTATATATATATATATATATATATATATATAAAACTTTGGCAGCATTTGCTCTGAAACTGGTCCACAACCTGAGAATGGCTTTGAAGATGCCTCTGCCACACCTACAAGACAAACAGATGTAGGCAGTCATCCAAACCAAAAAAACCAGGGCCAAACTGACAAATGCACAAAAAACACTTTGGTTGAAACATTGATAGCAAATTATTCCAATGGGAAACTTCTAAGGGGCGTAGTGGGGAAATCAGCTTTGCAGTTCAATTGTTCAAGGTGCACTATACATAAATTGTGGACCAGAGCAAAGAAACAAATGAATGAGAGAGTACCTATTAATGTCAACAGCCAATACAAAGCAAATGTTGAAAAAAAAGAGTGACAGTTGACGTGGAACAGATAAAAGGTATCCCCTGCACAAAAGAAAGAACATCAGAGCCCTACGCTTCTCCATGAACATGTCAAAGTCATCTGTTCACAGATTAATTCAACGTAAACATATTAAGAGACATTCAAATGCAATTAAGCCCTTGCTCACACATGGTGGTAAAGTAAAAAGGTTAGCTTTCTGCTTATCTCATATCCTACCAAGGTCTATTCCCTTAAGCCCCATTTTTCATCACTTTCAAGATCATATCCACATAGATGAGAAGTGGTTCTTCTTATCAATGGAAACCACCGCCTACTACACACACCCCAGTGAGGTTGACCCTTACAGATCTGCTCAAAGTAAAAATTTATACCTAAGATTATGATTTTGGCTGCAGTAGGCAGACCAAGGTTTAGGGACAGTGGTGAAGTTCTTTGGGATGGGAAGATTGGTATATTTCCATATACTTATGAGGAAAGAGCAAAAAGGGCAAGTAAAAATAGACCAAAGGGTACTTTAGAGACAAAGGTAACCATAAGTATCACTAGAGATGTTATGAAAAAGTTAAACAAACTTCTGCCAGCAATTAGAGAAAAGTGGTCTGACTCAGAAAACAAAACTGTATTTATCTTGCAAGATAATGCTAGAC